ATTCCCAGGCGTTGGCAGCTCTCCTCCATGAAACGCAGGTTTCAGCGCTTCCTTGGACTTGAATCTAACAGCCACATATGAGCCTGGGAGGTGCCTAATCTGTAAACTCTGATGAGAATTAGATACAACGTGATTAAAGCCGAATAATGAGTTGATTCATAGAGGCCCACTCAGTGTTACATGTGTAACCATGTCTGTAACTTACGCGTATATAGCAAGTATACTTACCTAGTTGCACATTTAAACACTTTTAAACACTCATTCTAATATGTGAAAGCTTTAGTAAATGTAACAAGTACGCATTTGTGATAATGAAGTTTTTAGGTAACTAACGGGACCAGATCCTCATGAAGTTGATATATAAACCCATTAAAGTAATTTAATTTTGAATAATAAGACATTTTTCTTACTACCATAATGTCACTTCTCCCAGATGTTATTCAGACTGCTCTCAATTCAGGAACTCACTAAATTTGAGTATGTTTATAGAAGAGTACTTGAAGTTTTGCTGTTTGTTGCTGCCTTTTGTTAATGTGCTCCTTGTTATTTAAAAGTCAAAAGCCACATTTATTTTAGATAGTGAAGGCATTTTGTACATATATTTATTTTTTAAAAAGACATTTTTTTGAACTGTCAGTCTTGCGTCTAGGGACACAGCGCGGTGGTAATGTGCTTGCCTAGCATGTGAGAAGCCCTATTTCGTCCCCAGCACCACACAAAAAACTCTAGGTCTCCCTGTAAAAATGCCTCAGTTGCTTACTACAGGGTTTAATCTATGTTTTCATTACCATTCAGTATGAAAATAAATTTCCATTTTGGGGGGAGTACTGGGGACCTTCTGCTTGCCAGGCAGGCGTGGCGACACTGAGCTAAATCTGCAGCTTTGTGATATCTTTTTTTAACCATGGGTTATTGAATAATTTCTAGAACTTGGGTATTGATTTCTAACTTAATTGCACTGTGGGGTGGAGAATATGTAAGATTCCAATCTTTTAAAAATTATGCATATACTCGAGTTTTTTTAGGCCATTATAATGAGCATATATTTTAGTTTATATGCTGCTGAAGCGAGCACTATAATGAGCATATATTCTACAGTTGTAGGGTCTAGTGGTTTGTCAGCAAACACTTTTGGTTTATAGTGTTCAGATTTTCTATGTCCTTTTTTTGTTTTGTATATTTTATCAGTTATTTAGAGAAGAGTGTTATAATTTCCAACTGTAAAGATTTTCCCTTTAAAATTATATAAGCTATATACATATTTAGGGTTATGTGTTGAGACCATTTGACCCATTTGTTCTAATGAATGTCCTTTTTTCTCCTTATATTAACATTACTTTAGTACTTAGTACTAGTATAGCTACCCTAATTATGATTAATTGCCTTATTTCTCACAATAAAATGACCCTTTTTATTTTTTTGTCTTCAAAGAGAAAGTATCTGCTTGGTCAAGTACTAAAATTGCCATTTCAGCATTGTTATATGCATAAAGTATATTTTCTCATTCCTTTAATTTTCAAACTCTGTCTTTACATTTCAGGTGTCTTTTGTAGGCAGCACATAGTTGAATCTGCATTTTAAAATCTCACAAGTTTGCTTTGTAACTGTAGTGTTTAGTCTGCTTACACTTCTTGATATCCTTGGGTTTTAGAATGCCATATTCTCTTGTTTCTATCTGGACTCTCTTACTCCTTTCCTGTCACATTTTGGGTTATTCGTGTTTTTTGGAGGGAGGGTATTTATTGACTTTTACACTGTTCCTTATTGGATAATATTTTTAGAATATCCTTATTTATCTTATCAAAGTCCACTTTAATATTGCTCCACCTTACAATTTATATGTCATTTCTCACCTCTCACTTAATGCTGAAACTGCCCATTTCCCCCTGATACTATCCAGCCACTAGCTTTCCATTTTCTATTTCTCACATGGCAGTTCACAAATGTAATAACATAAGATATTAATTCCATTTGCTGCCCTCTTCGCTGTTGTCTTTTATGTTACATATGCATTTACACAGGGCTTTCTCACTGAACTACAACCCTTTATACTTTGATGGAGTAGATACCTTTGGAAAATGGAAGTTGTTACCCACCTTTTTCTAAATTGATTAGATTTCTCAGCTGTGAATCTTGCTGAGGCTTGGATTTAGGTTTTGTGTTGTTTTGTTTTTTGGTACGGGGGATTGAACCTGGATCCTTGTGCTTTTGAGGCAACTGTTGTACCACTGAGCTAAATTTCCGGCCCTTGATTTAGATTTTGTTAGGGCAGGTGAAAGTGGGACCTGTTACTCGGTGTGTGGTCTTTACTCCTAGCTCATAGCCTTCCTCATAACTGGAATGCCTTGGGTATTGAGGAGATCTTTTCAATCTGAATTATAAAAGCTGAGAAAGTCTCACTGATTGGCCTTTTTTTTCTTTTAAATCTCTGCTTTGTTCTTAGCCTTCTTTGTTAAGTCTTGTTTGCTGTTTGTTAAATCTTGCAGTTTTGTCTGCTGATATGTGTGTTGTCCAGGTTGTCCCAGGGGACGACTCTATAGAAAGAACTCTGACCTCATTTCTGCAGTTTCCTTCCTGCACTGTTCATCACACATCCCAGCCACTTTGGCAGTTCCAGATTTTAATTTCTCTCTCCTCAGGTTAGTGAGACCATTATGATCCACTTGCACTTCAGATTCCTGCACTGTGGTTAGGAAATTGTCCGTAAGCAGACAGGATGGTCTGTGGACTGCCTCATGAATTTGTCTTCTCTAGGGGACTGCCTAGTGCCTGGATATAGTTGCCTTACATATTTTTTTCGGGTTGTGTAGTTGCTTTCAGCAGGTAGGTTGGTCTCTATTGCTAATTACTCTGCTACTGGCAGAAACAGAATTTTCCAAACACATATCTGAGCACTTAATGTATGTCATTCTTGTGAACTGGGTGCTGCATAAATACAAGAATGGATATGAGTGAAAAATAAATTTGATGAGGCCTACAACAGAAACATATGCTGTTGGAATAATTCTTTTACCTCACTTTTTTTTTTGTCCCTTGAAAAAATTTACCTCCTTCATCATCCAGTGTTTGGTTTTTAATTGCCTTAATGATATAGGATGGTTTATTTGGGTAAAACAATAGATGTGAGGAAAATGCTTCTTACACCTCAACAGAAATGTATCTAACAAAAAAGCTAAAGTGTTAGCCAAGTGTGTTGATGCATGCCTGTATTCCCAGCGCTCTGGGAGGCTGAAGCAGGAGGATTATAAATTTGAGCCCAGCTCAGACAACTTAGTGAGACCATGTTTCTTAAAAAAAAAGAAAAAGCCTTCAAATACAGCTCAGTGCAAACGCGGTGGGTCAGGGACACACAAGAGTAAAAATGTGGTACTATTAATTAGCTTTGTGTCACTGTGACAAAATACTTGAGATGACATCAGGAGGGAAGACTTGCTTTGGTTTATGGTTTCCTAAGTTTCATTCCATAGTTGTTTGTTGCTTGGTCCTGTTTTCGGGCCTAAGGCAGCACAGTACATCATGGGAAAACATGGCAGAGGAGATCTCTTTGTTTAAAACTATGATGGAAACATGTGATCCTTTCAGTATTAGCCTATAGTCCTAGCATATTACTTTGCCTTGCTATATATTTTTTTGGGGGGTACCAGAGATCCAACTCATGTCCTTCTTGCACTTGCAAGGCAGACAGCAGCACCACTGGTATAAATCCCCGGCCCCCGTTGCTATATTTTTAAATTAGCAGATATAAAGAATTTTAGCAGAAGAGCTGTTTATCTAGAAACCCACAGTGAAAATGCTTTCCTATGGTACATTTCATTCTTCTATGTGGGCTGGACATTTGAAGACCTGTAGGGAACAGGGAAAGGAATGTTAGTAGAACCTCTAAATTAAGTCATAGTCTCCTGTGAGCCATGACAGCATATGGTGAATTAATAAAGACAGAAGAGATAGCAAAATGAGACTGAGAGAAGCTGAGCTATGGTCCTGATCAATGCTGCTTTGAGCAGCAAAAACAAAAGACCAGGAGCTTGCCACACCTTTATTAGGTACCTCTGGAGTAACAAATGTTATGGGTGACTCTGAGGGCAGTGGAGGTGATAATCCTGGAACAGTGAGGAACTATGCAGATGAAAATTTTGTTCCTCCCCAGAATGTCTTCAGCTGATACAATCCTGCCCTGGAGCATCGTAGTATGACCAGACCACTGAGTTTAATTGTGACCCCAGGTGAAAATGGAGTTATGTCTCGACATGCCATAGCTGGCGTGTAGGCAGGAGAACTAGGCCTAATCATAATTGTAATTATGAAATGATTTTTCTCCCAAATTATGTAGAATTGTTCCTGACAAAGACCAATGGAGAACATGATATACAGGAGGATGATGGTGGGTCTTTTGATATCGCATCAGCAGTGGTTTGCTTTGCAGCTTCAAGTTTATAATCTTTCAGAATAGAATAATGTGTACATTAAGCAGTTTCAAAAGATCCATAGTTGACTGCAGTGCTATTTAGGTAGGGCACGTTCATTGTTCTTTATGAAAATGTATCTGTCTACTCTAATAGCACCTATTCTCTCTCTCCTTAGGATCCTTGTGAGGACGTGGTTGTTTCCACCTCAGAAGCACCTAAAAGGACCTCCGAAGCTAAACAATGCCCACTGACTTGGGGCAGGCCCTAGGCCTGTTGCCTTCACTGGCTAAGAATGAGGACTGTGCCTTCTCTGGACCAGATGCTGCCCCTGCAGGGGAGCTTTCCAGCCCTGAGACCGCACGCCAACTTTTCAGGCAGTTTCGTTATCAGGCGATATCTGGGCCCCATGAGACCCTGAGACAACTTCGAAAACTCTGTTTCCAATGGCTGCGGCCAGAGGTTCACACCAAGGAGCAGATACTAGAGATCCTCATGTTGGAACAGTTTCTGACCATCCTTCCTGGGGAGATCCAGATGTGGGTGCGGAAACAGTGTCCAGGAAGTGGAGAAGAGGCAGTGACCCTTGTGGAGAGCTTAAAAGGAGATCCTCAGAGACTGTGGCAATGGGTAAGCAGAGGGCATTGTTATCTCTGAGTAAAGTACAGAGCACCTCTGGGCTCTGAGTGGTGTGTATTTTTTTGGCATTACTCATGGCCTCAAATGTATGGGGTTTCCACACTAACAGTCAGCTTTGATTCCCTGATACCAGCTAAGCGTCCAGCAGTTCAGTTAATTCTGACACACAATATCTGGAGTTAGCACAGATCACACAGGTGCAGACACAGCCCCACAGCACTGCTTCTCTGCTTTAGATGCCAGCTGCAAGGTCTAGGGACCACCTGTCTGTCTGACAAACTGGTTACCAGTTGAGGATTTTCCCACAGTGACTTGCAGAACTCCAAGAAGCACTTTACTATTACCACTGTTATAAAAGTTACACTTCTCTAACAGCCAAGTGGAAGAGATACAAAGGCTTCTGTGTTCTCTCCCATTGTGCTACCTTCTTAGTACCTCAGTGAGTTCACCAACCTGGAAGCTCCCTGAGGAAGTTTTCTTTTTATAAGGGGTTCACTCTTTTGGCACAGTTGATTAAATCATTTGTCATTGGTGATAGAAAATCTCTGGCCCCTCTTTTTGCAGAAGTTGGGAGTGAGGGCTGCAAATTCCAATCTTTCAGTCACGTTGTTGAATCCTTTGGCAACCCAGGTGCAAAGCTCCTTCTTAAAGCTCCATCTTAAAGCTATCTAGATGTTCATCAAGAGCTAGCTACCTCTTTATCAAAACTCAGGTGTGAATGGAAAGCCTTTATTACTAGTAACAAAAGACTTTCTTTTTTTTAAGCTTCGATCACTCAGGAAATTACAAGGGTTCTGAGAACTCTGTGCCAAGGAACTAAGGACAAAGACCAAAGATAACATCTCTTATACCTTATCTGCATTTCCCTCTATCTCACTTAATTCTAAAACTCTTTAACACTTTTTATCCATTGGGGACTGAAGATAAAGTTTCTCCTGCTATTCCATCTTTAGAATGTTTGAGTTGTTCAGAAGTTGCCTGAGTTTTTATTGGTGGAGGCTGTCTAGTAGAAACATAATATTAGTGCATTTTTGAAAGTCTACCAGGCCCGCTTTGGACCTCAGCTTTTGGTGTCTTTTGGGATAGTTCCTCTTTCCGTGGTTCCTGCTGGGCTAAAAACAGGAGCTGACTTGCTTTTCTTTCCCTTATGTCCTTAAAGACTATCCTATGTTCTGTTACAGAAGATGAGAGCTCTTTATCATCCGGGAATCCTGACTCTGCTTCCTTCAGTAATTAGTGCTATCTGCTTTTTAGATCAGTATACAAGTTCTAGGACAGGAGATCTTATCAGAGAAGAAGGAATTCCCAAACAGCCTATTGGGTGAAGTGGAGCCCCATCTGGAAGTGGCACCCCTTGACATGGGACTTCCGAATTCTCCCTCAGGATCTGGGGAGCTGCTATGCCACATCGTTAAAGAGGAATCCGACACAGAACCAGAATTAGGTGAGGGGGACTGCTTGGTGTGCCTTGCTCTCGTGGGGAAATTGGGGGATTGTAGTTAGTAGGCATAAGCTAAAGTGACATGGTATCCTTGGAAGGTCTGGAAGCAGGGTAGACCTACATGAACTACTCTGATTGAAGATTCAGTATGTATTTTAAACTACTCTGTGATTGAGCCAGACCATTTGGATTTTAGTTCTGAGGAGTGAAGTAGGAGAAAATAGGGGTGTGACTCTTCGGAAGTTTGGAGGGCTGGGGTTTATTAGGAGGTAAGCACAAGCCTGTGAATTTGCGTGGCAGAACAGATTGTTCTTATTTGTGAAGTTCTTATCTCTATCATCTGGGGAGTGGTTAAGGAATATGTCTAGATTCTAAAATTTCTTTTCTCACTTCAGCTCTGGCTGCTTCCCAGGTTCCTGACCAGCATGAGAAGAGGGACATCAGGGAGCAGGACTTGGGAGCCGCCCTTCTCTCAGCAGCACCTCAGGTGAGCTGGGGGTCTCTGCTTCTCCCTTACCTGAACTAGGCCTTGAGAGTATATCCAGTCAGGGGCTGTAGCAGGGCTGCAGTCTCAGAAGAAGGGCTCACCTAGGTAATTGTTACAGTACATGTGGAATGAATCCTGAGTCTTAGTGCTTCTCTCAAATCAGAATGTTTCCTAAATATCATCTTGAATAATGGAATCTGGCCTCTGGAAAAAGGTACAAGTTGCTATGAAAGGACAAATCTGGTCTTTACCCCAATATGGTCATTTTTGTGTTTTGTTGAAAAATATCAAAAATTATTTTATTTCCTTGAATATGATACCCACATAGGGTATGACAGCTGAGATGGCTGCTGAGTTATTATTGGTGGGTTAGCATATGTATAGCATGGATATGCTGGACAAAGATGATTCATATCCTGTGAGAGATTTTATTGTGCTACTCACAACAGTGTGCAGTTTAAAACTTAGGAATTGTTTATTTCTGAAAATTTTTATTTAACGTGTTCAGACTACATTTGACTAGGAAACCGAAACCACAGAAAATGAAACTGGGGCAGAGGAGACTACTGTATAGTGCCAGAGAATCCTTTAATCTAGGGCTATTTTTCCCCGCTATTGAGGCAATACCCTTCTGAATATTCTGCCTCTTAATCTGCCCTGTTTTCTACCCTGGCAGATGGAAATATGAATAGTTTCTAGCACTATGTGAGCTCAGGGCTTGCTCACTCTGATTCTTTTGGCTGGTTCTACGTTGGTCTTGAGGGGGCCCCTCTGAAGCGGGGTGGGATCTCCAAAGCTGTCTTTGTGCAGTTCCTTTCTCTGTGGTTTTCTGCCCTGCTAACTCCAGCCGCTGTAGGCTGCCAAGATTCTGACCTTCTGCTCAATTCCACAGGGCACCTGGCTTGGAAGGGGTTTCCCCTCTCCTGTGCTGTCTGGATCTTCCCTCTAGGCAGTCCATTTGGACAACTGTAGGACACAGCTTCCTCACTTTCAGGGACCTCTGTTCTGCACTGCACAGTGTGCAATGTCTGGAAACCATTGTTTTGTATGTTTTGTTACCCTTTTTAGTTGTTTCTGGCAGAAAGATAATTCCAGCTCCTGTTGTTCTATTTTGGCAGTAGACCAAAGTCTCTGGAACAGGTTTATATTGATTATGCAATTAAAACTCAGGCAAATTACATTTGATTAAATATTCTTTTTTTTCCCCCCTCGGTACTGGGAATTGAACTCAGGACCTTGTACTTGCCAGGCTTGATTAAACATTCTTTAGGAACATACATATACATCTTAATTGAAACATTAATTAAAAACTTGAGGGACCTCTTCTTGAGACTTTCCTTGGGAGATGATAAAGTGAAGGTGAAAATAGGGTAGTGGGTAGTGCTTAAAATCATGCTTGGACCAGGATCTGAACATCAGCTTTCAGGGTTCAGAGATTTAGAAGGTAGAATGCCAGTGTCTTAGTTTACCTTGGGGGAAAGAAGGATGTTCTCAGCTGTCAGGGTACCCAAAAACCAGCCTGCTAAAGAGAAAGTTGCTTGGGAAATAAAATTGGAGGACTGAGGGTGTAGCTTGTGACAGTGTCTTTTTAAGTGTTTTTAATCATTTGTGAGACCCAGGTTCAATCTCGAGTACCAAAAAATAAAATTAAAAAGGAAAAAGATTTGTGTGTTTTATGAAATTTTTCAGCTAGCCCTGGAGGATTAATGTTGCTTTTGTAGTATGTAGAGAACATTTCTTTGACATGCATATGTCATTTATTAATATATTTTAATAACCAGTAGGGTACACAGACATTAGCAACTTCCTGGTTTAGAAAGCTAAATGATCAAAATGTTCAGCAGCAACAGTTTGTTACTGACAACAATAACATACATACATATGAGCCTGAATTTAGCTGGTGAGTGATTAGTAACCACTCAAGCAGAAGTCATTCTTGCTCATTCCCAATGCCCCTCTATTAAGCTAACAACGATTATTTGCCTCAGAAAGACCTTGATATTTAATAGAATCCTTTGAAAGTAAAGGGAATTTTAAAATAGAAGTAATCATTCTAATCTTTTCTGGAGTTAGGAACTTTGTGAATACTGTAAGAATAATGAAGTGGTATCATTATCACTGCATAGTATTAGTTCATTATCAGAAACCATGACTGAACTCTCATCTGAACTGGAAGGATAGATATATTTACTACATTTTTGTCTTTTGAAACAGAAGGAAGGAACACAGTACGAATAACTCCTTGTGTAAGCTGATTGTGGTAATATCTTGTAAATCCACAAGATGGTGTTCTTTCTGTATAAAAAATAATATGATTCCTACCTCAAGCCCCACCCTTTCTTCTTTCCAGAATAGGAAGTTAGACTTTTTCCTTCTTTGTAAATGTGAGAAGGCAGCCAGATGGCTGCTGTCAGTGTCTTTCATCCCAAGTAGGGGATTTTATTTGAGCTTCTCCAGCTTCTTGCAGCTTTTTGAATAAATATGTGGCTTTAAATTGGAGGTACACTGTTCAGACTCCTGTAGCAACTTCTGGCCTTTGGGTGAGCTGATATGACTCATGGGGATTTGGTGCTCATACCCTCTTTTTTCTTGTACTGTTCTTGGTAGAGAGTGTGCTGTGCCCATGGAGTGGCCCTGTGTTCAGCAAGCCAGGCATCCAGGCAGATTGTACTGTGCCTAGCATTCACATCATTTTCTGTGCTACCCACAAAGTGAGTCTGTGTGTTCTGACCGTGGAGACTAAGGGTGCCTTTATTCAGCAATATTTGCTTATGCTGATTATTTTCAAGGCTGTTAATATAGACTCATTCACAGAGCGCTAACAAAATAAGCTGCTAGCAATTCATATTTTAAGGATTTTAAATGTTAAATTGAAATTCGTATTAAAATGCGGTTCTAGTTAATAGTTGATACATAGTTAAGTATATCTTCTGTTTTTGACTTAGCATCTGCTAACCCAAGACTTTCTTATTTTATGAAAAAATAAAAATTTTAACAAAATGAGAGTAGTAATAGTTAATATACTGTGTATCATAACGTTGAAAGTAGTTACTCAGTATAAGACATAGACAAAAAATGAAGAGACAAGCAGATAATAGCAGAAAACTTTGTTTTCAGTGAACTAAGAAATAAGTAGTATAAATTAATCAAATTAGGATTTATATTAAAATATTTTTGAAACAACAGAGTAGATAATGTGGGAAATTATTTGAACTCCTCCCTACTTATTTATCTTCTATTTTGGCTTTGTGTGTGTGTGTGTGTGTATGTGTATGTGGTTTCTAACATAAGAGAAACTATGAGATATTTAAGTGTATGGGTCTGATGTATTTCACTTAACATTGTTCTCAAGTTTCATTCATTTGCCTACAGATGCCTCAAGCTTATCTTTATGGCACAGTATTACTTTATTGTGTATAAATATACATTTTCCTTACCTTGCATCTGTTTATGGACCTATTGGCTGTTTACAAAATCTGACTGTTATAAATTGTGCTGCTATAAACATGGTTATGCATGTTTCCCAGTGATGTAAAGATTTTTAACTCTTTTTGGGAAGAGGAAGGGAGGTAGTTGGGTCAAATGGAATTTATCTTTTAGTTTTTTGAGGAATCTCCATGCTGATTTCCATAGTGGTTACCCTAGTTTATATTCCCATCAACAGTGTGGAATAGTTCCTTTGTCTCTACGTCCTTGCCAGCATTTATTACTATTAGATTGTTTGATGATGGGCCTTCCTTTTGCAGCAAGATGATATCTCAGTGTAGTTTTTTTTTTTTCCTCATTGAGATTTTTGATACATTTTAGGTATACAGTACAGTTACATTCATCACTGGGGTCTTGTACCTTTACATGACAGGTCCTGGGTCTCATTTTTTTCCCTTACCCCTGCCCTCCCTTCACCCCCCCTTCCCTATTTACAAAGGCTTTATTTCCATTTTTTCATTTTCTCATGTTTTTTTCTTTTCCCTTATTTCCTTTCCACATCTCAGTGTAGTTTTTTTTTGGTACCAGGGATTGAACTCGGGTCCTTGCGCTTGCAAGGCAGGCCACTGAACCACTGAGCTAAATCCCTGGCCCTCTCAGTGTAGTTTTAATTTGCATTGCTCTGATGGTTTTTTCATCTCTTTATTGGCCACTTGTACTTCTTCTGAGAAGTGTCTATTCACTTTGGTTGCCCACTTTTTGATTGGATCTTTTATTTTGAGGAGTATTTTTTTAGGTCTTTATATATTCTAGATATTAGTCCTCTGAGGAGTAGGTGGCAAAATTTTTTTCCCATTCTCTAGATTGTCGTTTCACTCTGTTGATTGTTTCCTTTGCTGTGTAGAAGCTTTAGTTTATATGATCCCATTTGTTGATTTGAGGTATTGTTTCTTGTGCCAAGTGGGTTCTGTTCAGGAAAGTCCTTGCCTACACTGGTGTCAAGCCTTTTTTGTGTCCCTCTCTCCTTGAGCCATTTCCACCTCTCTTTGGTGGGCTAACAGGTAGGCTTCATTTAGGACTACGAGTGCCATCTCTGAGTAGTATATTGCAAGATGACTTCATAATTAGCTTTTTCATTTCTGTTCTCTGTAGCCTGGCTATTTATGACATGATACGTGATACCAACTTGGGGAGGGGAGTCTCTGCAAATACAGGGAACCCCTTCATTCTTTCTGCAAGCATTAGGATGAGTCTAGGAGGCTGCATATGATAGTAATACTAGTGGTCATCTACTGAAGGTTTGTTTGTTTAGGATTTTGTTTTATTCACGTGATACATATCTAGTGCCTGCTCTGTCACAGCCAAGGTCTTGGCGGCTGGGAAGTACAGAGTACAGAGTATGGTAGAGGCCTTCTCTGAGCTCAGTAACAGTATAAAAATTAAATACTTATGTGTATGTCATTATATATATATGATATACACAAATATTTAGTAAACTGATGAATGCTGTGAATAAAGATATACAGTGCTTTGAAAACAGGTGACCATTGCTTTGTTTCTTTCAAACCTCCTAACATTTTTTAGGTCAGTACTATTATTAGGGGAGAACCAGAACTAACTCTGTAAGAGTCAGATGTGTTATGTACATGTACTAACTCCTCACAAGTAATATATGCATTGTGTGCTTCAAATATGTACCAATAAAAATAAGTATTAAAAAAAGATACTTGCTCAAGGTAGCACAGTTTGAAAGTGGCAGAGCTGGGACTTGAAACCCAGTATGTTTGACAAAGAGTGAGCTGCTAGTCACTCTGAGTATCTTGGTAAGGAGATTGAAATTTGGGTTTATTAGGATGAATCCAAGCTGGGCAGTATATCTAGTTTTGAATCTCTAGTCTAACATTCCATAGGAAAAAGGGGCTCTTTTGTGGTTGGATAATGGAAGGATACCTTGCTCTAGAAACCTATCAATTTCCCCCTAACTGGGAATAGAACTGATTTAATGTTAGGTTCTTCTTGCAGAACTATTGACTCCAGGTGTGTATGGATGCAATATCTGCCTTTTGAATCCATCAATTTTTTTTTTGGTACCAGGGATTGAACTCAGGACCTTGTGCTTGCAAGGCAGATGTGGCACCACTGAGCTGAATCCCTGGTCCACATCCATCAACTTTTGTTTCAGAGTAAGCTTTCAATGCAGTTGAAATTGTCATTGATTTCTCCTACCTTTTTTGCTGATTTGTACTTCCTTTTCCCAAAGGTTCCTTTTAAATTTTCTTTTCCCTCTTGAATTTGCAGATTTAAAAATTTATTTATGTATTTATGACTTATTAGAACCTGTCTGCAGTACATAATTGCATCACTGTAGGGAATTGTCCAGATTTTAATTAAATAGTGGGAAATCAGGCTCCTTTTGACCCATACTCCAAGCCCTTAAAAAGAGTTAAAAAAGAGACAGTATAGAGAAGGCATGTGCTTTTGTATGTTCTTTTCTTAAATAGATGTAACTTGGATTAATGTAAACCCTAAATGTTTTCTAATCAGGGCAAGAAATAATGATGAAGAGGACTATCATTTTCTCCTTGGTCTCTTTGTTCCTTGACCTACCCTCTCATGAGTTACTAGATTTGTTGTCAGCATCCTACTTCACATTCCATTCTTCTCAGCTTTCCTGTGAGCGGGAAATCAGGCTTGAAGATCTTCCCTGGACTGACGGTATTTGGTTTTTTTTTAGGAGCAGTGGAGACACCTGGATTCCACTCAAAAGGAGCAATACTGGGATCTCATGCTGGAGACCTATGGGAAAATGGTCTCAGGGGGTAAGGACATGGGTCACCTTGATAGAAGGAGGTGGAAAGAGTAGAAAACTATTAAGCTTTGCCTATGCACTTGTAGAGACATATGCTCAACTTCAAGTTCTTGAGTAAAAGAAATTACAGAGAAACAGCTGGGAACCAGGGCGAGTTAGAGGAATTATAGTAAAAATCCCATGATAGTGAAAGTATTTTGTGTGCCACGAACTGTGTGACAGTATTTTTTTCTTTCTCTTTCTTTTTTGTGCGGTATCAGGGATTGAACTCAGAACATTGTGCTTGCGAGGCAGACATGGCACCACTGAGCTTAATCCCCAGCCTTACAATATTTCTTTTTTAAAGGTCATGAAAGTGAATATCAGATCTAGTACTTGTTCACTGTTTTATAGTTTGTAGGTGCTAAGTTAAGATGGAACTTGTGACTGGCACTGAGTCCATGATCTTTCCTACTGAATCATTGTCTATTGCCTCAAGATACCTACTGGTGGGCTCCCTGTTATGATCCTTGTACCAGCCTGCCAGGGATCTACAGTTTTCTGGCCACCTGTCCAGACTCGTGTTTTTGTGGTCTTCACCATAGTCATAATCATTTTGGGAGTACTCTGTACTGTTACCCGCAAGACTCTCTAAGTATGCTCCAGAGCCTTCATATTTCCCTTGTGCTTGGTGTGTTCCTTTGAAAGACAGAGCTAGAGCTCCCAGCCTTTCCTATTTATTCAGGCGCACATACCTATCTGTCTCTTTGTATCAGGCATTTCCAACTCTAAACCCAACCTGACTAATTCAGCAGAATACGGGGAAGAGCTGGTAGGGCTACACCTTCACGTCAGTGAGAAGATCCCAAGACTCAGTTGTGTAGGTGAGTGATTTTTCACTGATGGGAACCATGTCTGAATTCCTGTTAAATTGGAGATGGGGGAGGAGGTATTAGGACGTGGTTTTTGCTCTTTTTTTCCCAGTACCAGGGATTGAACTCAGGACCTTGTGCTTGTGAAGCAGGCATGGTGCCACTGAGCTAAATTCCCAGCCCAGGACTTGGTTTTTATTACATTGGCTATAATGAGCCATGATCAGGTTGGCCTGGTTTGAGTTAGGTTTCCTTATCTCTGGCTCTGTCAAATATATGTTGATACATATATTTAACCATGAAGGTAAGAGAGAATTTTTTTTCTCAGAGAGAATTCAAATTCATACAAATTGGTGCTAATACAGGTAAATGTAGTATTCTATCACACACAAGATTATGTAATGACCATTATTACTATTTCTAACAAGAAGTTTCAGAGAAGGTAGACTTTTCTTATTCTGGTTATAGTGAGCATCACCCTCAGCAATTGAAAGAAACAGAAGAACATGTTCTATTTAAGTTCTATCCTGATAACATTCATGAAATAGTGGTGTTAGCAAATACTTTATATAAATTATGTGTAAGACTAGGGAAGAAAAGGTCTGATATTAGTGATAAAATTGCAGTCAACTCTTTGTTTTCTATAATCATTCTAAAGCATGGCAGTTATGTAAAACTTAACACACACACACACACACACACACACACACACACACACACAGTCTTTTATCTATGCAATAAATCCGAGAGCCTTAGAGGAAGAAAAGCACTAACAGCGGGAATTGTGTGACAAATTCATTCTTTCTTTCCAGTGGATTCTAATGAATTATTTTCCTTTGCTTATACCCCACACTAAAACATAATGATTTTAATTCTCTTTTCCCTGGGCCTTGTATATGCTAAACATGCCCCCTTCCTCTGAGCTTTATTCCATCCATGATTTTAATTTTAAGTACTATTTTTATTACTATGGTGTTTCACAGGGATTCCTTTGGAGCAGTATTTGTCAAACTGCACTTTATGGCCAATTAGTAGGATTCTATTTTTTTTGATAGACTTTATTTTTTAGTGCAGTTTTAGGTTCATAATAAACTTGAATAGGAGATAAAGAGACCCATTTACCTTGTGGCAGCAAGATGGTATTTGTGATATACAGCTTATTGTGTACCCACCCATTCTGGTTTTGTTTTTTAGTTTAGTTTTGTTTTTTCCTTTTCCTTTCATCCTACCTGCTGATGTGGCCTCATTGAAGCCTACCTTGAGCCACAGCCAAACAGTGGAGAGTTTACAAGGTCAGCCTGCCTTGATAGCAAAAGAGATATATATTAGGTCCCTGTGAGAAAAGATGTGTAGAAAAATGAGAACCAAGACCTGTCATGTAAAGGTACAAGATCTCAGTAATGAATGTAACTGTATTGTATACCTAAAATGTACCAATAAACTTAATAAAAAGAAAAAGAAAAAAATAAATAAAAGAAAAGATATGTAGAAAGAATCTGGGGAAGAGTAATTTGGTAGCAGTCTGTGGGACAGATGGCCAGGGAGCATTTTGAGGAGAGAACTCTGTGCGGAGCTGTTGCAGGAGTCCAGGTGCGCAGGGGAGATACCCAGGTGTGGAAGTCACAGGAAAGGACTGGTCTGAAAAGTTAAAACAGTTAGCTAGTCTGCTAGATCTGAGGTAACACCAGGGGCAAAAATCACAGGAGAGAGTAGATATGCCCTTTTGTTTGAACATAAAGAAGAACAGCTCATAGTTAAAGAAGGCCAAAAGGGATAAGACTCAGAAAGCCATATATTCACACTTGTTAACAAAATCTTGAGAGATTAAAAAATCATTTGGCAAAAGAAAAGAAAATCTTAAATGCCCACTTAGAAGAACACAATGGGTAGAAGTAGTAAAAAAAAAAAATTTTTTTTAGAGTGTTTCATGCATGCTAGGTCTTTAAATGTTAAGAATCTGTTGTGTACATAAGGTAGAATCATTAAAATAGCATACTGATATAAAATTGATGTATACATTAGTGAAACAGAAAACGGACTGGGAAGAGATACTGGGCAGTGTAAGACTTAACATGTGAGGAAGGAAGAAGCCACACAAATCCATGGGCATGAGTTGAGTGTGGTGGCACATATCTGTAATACCAGTATTCTGGGAGGCTGAGGCAGGAGAATTACAAGTTCAATTCATGCCTGAGGAATTTACTGACTTAGGGAGATCGTATCTCAAAGTAAGAAATAAATGAAAACTGGGGATGTAGTTGGTGTGATGGTCTTATTGAGTACCCACTATCTCTCCACCCTGTACATATAGTGTACACACACACACACACACACACACACACACACAATGTGCATAAAAAAATCCCAAACCTGAGTACCCACTATCTCTCCACCCTGTACATATAGTGTACACACACACACACACACACACACACAATGTGCATAAAAAAATCCCAAACAAAATAAGGTTAACTAAATTGGTGAAAACATTTTTCATGAACATGACAGATATGTGATATTCCACCTCATTTTTTTTTAATATGGAAAGTTAAAGCAAGTTGATAAGAAAACATGACATTCCCAGTGAAAAATGGACAGCAGTCTTGGAGTATGAAAAAGTAGCTTATAAAATGAAAGAGAAAAAAATTTTCTTATAACTAGCGAATTAAAATTTAAAATAAAACTCATTTTTCACCTGTCTAAATGGCATATAAAAAATTCGGTACTTAAGTATTTACTCAGCTCTCCCCTCTGCCCTGCTTCATATACCTGAGTATATGGCAGAGAGAGTCTGGAAATTGAGTTGCTAGGAGGTGTCAAAACCTTAATATTCATGTACGTTGACAAAGTAATTCTATTTTAAGGAGCTCTTTTAAGGTGTAGATCAGAAATGTAGGCAAAAACTCGAAGAAAAGTGATGATGACAGTGTTATTTATAGTAACAAAACCACAATAAACAACAGATTTCCATAGTAGAAGAATTCTTAAATACATTCTGACACCATGATGGGTCATTACTCAGCTCTTTAAGAAGCTATTTTTAAGGCTTCTTTAAAGACAAGCGACACTGCCTTTGCCATTTAAGTGGAGTATGTTTTAACATTTTGAGAATTAACAAATTCAGTTCTGATTCTTTGGCAGATGCCTGCATCTCTGGTAGATAAGTGGAAAGACATGAATCTATGAAAAAGAAAAGTAAAATAGCCTGTTTAGATCTGTAGGAGTAATTTGTAAAAGTTCAGAATAAATCCTGCACCAAAATAAAAATCTTTACATAACTCGGTAACATTAAAAAAGTTAAATTTTGGGCTGGGGATGTAGCTTAGTGGTGCAGCACCTACCAGGCAAGCGCAAGGCCCTGAGTTTGATTTTCAGTACCAGGAAAAAAAAAAGCTAAATTACAAAAATACTATAACTGGTTATTGAATTAATAAAGCACATGTAGCTGGGTACAGTGGTCCCACATCTGTAGTCCTAGGTACTTGGCAGGCTAAGGCAGGAGGAGTTACTTGAGTGTAGGAGTTTGAGGCCAACCTGGGCAATGTTAGATACTGTCTCATTTATAAATCAATAAATAATCACATTTGAATATTGGATTCAAATAAAGACTCAGGGATTTACTTTTACAGTACAACTCCAGTTGCATTACAGTACAACTCTTTGCATGTCATAGTAAAATGACATGAACAAATTTCATGAAATTTTGTATTATTTGTGAATGGAAGAATCTATGTTCAATAGCCAGAACCACTATTTACAATTTAAGTGTTACATATTTGGATTTAGAGCTGTATACACAATATCAAAAATAGCATGTCCACTCATAATATGGATTAAATAAAAAGGAGGTGTGTGTACATAGGTACCTTTGATTAGGACAGTTGAGGTTGATATTGTTTTCATCTGTATATTTTTCTCTTTTCAAATGTTTCTAGTGATCATATTTACCTTTTATCTAATAATTTAGATAAAAATTAACCATTTAAAAATATTACTTACATATAATATACTTAATTTACCTGGTCCTTAAGAAATGCACGTTGCTTTTTTGTTAATGAAAGGGTCAGAAAAATCCTTTTTGCTTCATGTGCTGTTTAAAAATTCTCACCTCTTACTATATAGTCCTGAACCCAGCACAGGTGAAGTGAGTCTGAATTGTTCAGGAGGTTTTTCCTCATTTGCTGATGCCCTCATGGTAAAAATAATGTTTTCTGATGATCCCCTCTTTGACATATGAGTTAGAAAGTAGGACATGATATTCATTGAACCATTTTAAACATTCTTTCTCTTTTTAGGAGATAGACAAGAGAATGACAAAGAAAACCTAAACTTGGAAAATCACAGGGACCAGGAATCCTTGGATGCTTCCTGTCAGGTCTCAGGTGAGGTATCTCCTCAGGCATCCTTGAGGGGCTTCTTCACTGACAGTGAGCCAGGACGCTTTAGAGAAGGAGCGAATCTCCCTGAGTCTCTGGAAAACGTTCATGGTGATGGGGCAGCAGGACAACTGTCTCCTCACGAAAGGAATTCTGGGAAACAGCTAGGTCAGTGCATGCCTAATGCTGCTCCTGAAGAACTGTCTGCCATGTGGCTTGAGGAGAAGAGAGAGGCCTCTCCGAAGGGACAGCCAAGAGCCCCTATGGCCCAGAAATTCCCCACCTGCAGGGAGTGTGGGAAAACCTTCTATAGGATTTCACAGCTTGTCTTTCACCAAAGAACTCACACTGGAGAGACATACTTTCAGTGCCCCATCTGCAAAAAAGCCTTTTTGCGGAGTTCAGACTTTGTGAAACATCAGAGAACTCACACAGGAGAGAAGCCTTGTAAATGTGATTATTGTGGCAAAGGCTTTAGTGACTTCTCAGGATTGCGCCACCATGAGAAAATCCACACAGGAGAAAAACCCTACAAATGTCCCATCTGTGAGAAAAGCTTTATTCAGAGGTCAAACTTTAATAGACATCAGAGGGTTCACACAGGAGAGAAACCTTATAAATGTTCCCACTGTGGCAAAAGTTTCAGCTGGAGCTCGAGCCTTGACAAACATCAGAGATCTCACTTAGGAAAGAAGCCCTTTCAATAGCCAACTCTTGCAGAACTTTTCTATCTCCCTGTCCATTTAAAAATGCTCAGCTCTACAAGGATGATTCATCCCTAAGAGGAAATTCTGTTTACTCCGGTTTTCAAGACTTGGAGGGGAGAGTACCTGGAAATGGTTTTAAACTTGGAAGATATATCAGCCTCTGGATTGATTTGATGATGGCTTATTTCTTGCTTCTGTATCAGAAGAAAGAGTAGTCTTTATGTGTCAGCCTATCTCTTCATTTGGACTTCCTGGGGGAAAAGTCACTGAGATCAGTTTTGGAAGTGCCCTCTGGGGAGTTTAACTGGAGTGCCTGCAGTCAGTGCTTGAGGGAGTAGCCTCAGGTCAGCCCTTTAGAATTGGGCCCTAGGTAGTTGTCCTGTTACAGAAGGGGAGGCAGAGAGGCCCTGTGAGCCCATGTATGTTCCTTGTCATACGGGTGAAACATTAACTTCAAGTGTCCCTTGTTTAAAATAAACTTAGTTAATTCACTTCCTGTCTTATTTGTGTTTGAAATGTTTGCTGCATGTTAACTATAGCTCCAGAGCCATTTTTTTCTATAGAAGACTAAATGGTTGTTGAGTTTCAAGATTAGCCCATGTAAACCTAACAGGTCTGTATGTAGCAGAAAAGTAATAGAAGAGTGCTAACTCATGCTGAGGTTGTGGGAGTGTGGCTGTTGCTGGGCACACTGTCTCAGGTAGGTTTGTCTTTGGTAACCCTTTTCTGAGCTTACCTGCCACTTGATGACATGCCTCAAGTTTCCCCACTTTCTCTTGGCATCTTAGTTGGGCTATCATTTTTAACAAGGTGCTCTGTGATTTTAAGTCTTTATTATCTCATGTTGCTCATAGGTGTTAGAAAAAAATCAATAGTGTTGATCCACTTTTTAATATTGCCTAAGGGTTTATTAACATACATATCTAACCTGTCCTATGGTCCTTGTCTTCAAAAGTTACATGCCTTAAATGCCCTGCTCTCATATAGTAAGGGCCCTTTCTTCAAACACTTAGTCTTGCTTGGTCTTTATACATTTTTCTGGGGAGAGTCATGAAGGTGATAACTAATGAGAAGGGCAGAACCATTTCTCTGAAAACAGACCAAGCAACAGATAGGAGACTACAAGATGGCAGACAATGAAGAATGGGTGGGAGAGGAGGGACAAAACTCGAGTTAAGAGTTCCTAGATTCATGGAGAAATTTGTTCACTTAATAGTATAAAGAGGAATAAAGCTTCATTTAAGGAGATTCACAGCCTGTGAGAAAGAAAACAGGAAAATCATGGAAGAATTAGTATTACAGTCTGTATTCTGAGTAGGAGAGGTTTGTAGGATGATGGCATTTGCTGTTTGAAATTCGGTTCTCAGCATGTGGCCTCAGAGCAGCAGCAACAGCATTTTGTTAAACTTACTGCATCACACATTCTGAAGGGTGGGATTCAGCAAATTTTTTGTCTTAACAAGCCCTCCAGGGGCCCCTGATACCTACTCTAGTTTAAAAGCCACCGTTCTAAATAGCAATAATTTTTTAAAAAAGTCTCTGCAAGGCTATAAAGGTATAATAATCTCAAAGGAATACTGAGCCTTCTCAGACTCTTACCAAGTCACCACGTAGAACTCTAAAACTCAGCATAACTGTGGAACCCTTTGGGTTTCTAGTGAACATTTGTTTTGCAGAGTGAGATATGGAAAACTTTTAGGTTAAAAAGTGTTAGAGGAAGAATTTCTCTTTGGATACATCTTACTGGTCTCTAGAAAGAGACACAGTGCTTGCTCACAGTTGTGTCTTCAGAAGTAGTAGGAGTTGGGTAAAATGCATAGAATAGATTTGTGAATTAATGAAAATACCGCATGTGTCCTTCCCTTAGCCTCTACAGCAGGAGTCAGCAAGATATGACCTGTCATGTGTTTTAGTAATAAAGTTCATTGGAATATAGCCATACTTATGTATTATCTAGGCTGCTTTTGGGCTGTTACGGCAGAACAGAGGAGTTAAAAGAGACAATATGGCCAGTAAGACCTCAAATATTTATTGTCTGGCCCTTGATAGAAAAATTTTTAGACCCTGTAATCTAGGGTAATGATTCCCAAACTGTAATGTACATGTAATATATGTGCAAATCACCAGGAAAGCTGGTGAAGATGGAGATTCTGATTCACGGGCAATAACAATGTTTCTTGGGGCACCTGGGAGCTAGACCACTGAGGATATATGCTGTGTGATAAGGCCAGGGTTGAAATGTTTGTGGCTTGTTTCTGTTGGCCTTTTCAAAATCACTTATGACTTAGCAATTCTAAAAAGCTAGCCCAGACACAGCTGAATGATAATCACTTTATTAGGAAAGGTTAGTACTACAAAATTCTTTTCCAGTAGTTCCTGGGCCCATACTGCAGCTCAGTCTCAGTTTGGGGCACGAGTCTAAGTTTCCTGGTGGAGTTCTACAAAGTTGAGTGCTCATGATTCATTCTAAGTGTCTGTGGTCACCCCTCACCTACCTGTGTTCAGAGAATCTCTATCTCAGCTTCCTTCCATGGTTTCTCGGTGACTCTTTAGAAAGCTAAATCTGGAGAAGTAAGGCTACTCCTGCTAGAACCCACTTGGATGGATTTTCCTTAGTCTTCAAGTTGAAAGTCCACACATAGGTGGGTCCCCGCTGACAAGTCTTGTACACAGGGCAAGAATAGACATTGCGGCAATCCTGCTTATCTGCAGGAATGGCCTTGATGAACATCACAGGCATGGGAGGTGTCAGATCCTTCAGCTTTGCCTCCGTAATGAGCCCAGCCTGAGGACAAGACAGGAACATGAGATGAGCCATTTTAGATCTGACCCAGAGCCCAGCCTGCCAGCCTTGTTTGTGTCAGAAGATCCAAGGCATGAGACTGGGATATCCTGGCCACCTTTCTGCTTTCCTCCCTTGCAGTTTCAATAACCCACAGTGGAGGCCATCTCTTACTTACAAGACATTTTTCTTTTCAGCCTAAATCACTTTTTGTTTGTTTGTTTGTTTGTTTGTTTGTTTGAGACAGGGTCTCACTATGTAGTTGACACTGACCTGGAACTCACTATGTAGCCCAGGCTGGTTTTGAACTCACAGCGATCCTCCTCCCTCAGCCTCCCAAGTGCTGGGATTACAGGCGTGTGCCACCACGCCCAGCCCTAAATCACTTCTTGATGTTTAGTTCCAAAAGTTTTGGAACTTGATTTTCACCTTGTTTTTTTTTCACTGAATTTTCTAAGAATATTGAATGCAACTTTTGACAGATGTCAGAGCTAGGAACTAGGAATTTAAAGAGATGAAGGGCTGGGGATTTAGTTCTGCCACCTGCCTTGCAAGTGCAAGGTCTGGAGTTTGATTCCCTAAAAAAAAAAAAAAAAAAAAAAAGACATTTCTGTTAGCAAAGGCTTTCATTATATTCCATTTCTTTCTATTCAGTTTCATATATAGTCTTACCGACCTTACAGCATTTTAACTTTTTTTTTTTTTTTTTTTCGGTGTGTGGTACTGAGGATTGAACCCAGGGGTGCTCTACCACTGAGCTACATCCTCATTCTTTTATTTTTTATTTTGAGACAGGGTTTCACTGAGTTGCACAGGTGGACTTCAGACTTGTGATCCTTCTGTGCTAGCCCTGCTCAGTGCTAGGATACAGGCACCACACCTGGTTTAGAGTCTATCTTTAATCGTGTAACAAAAGACCTGATGGTTTTGTAGCTTTCCAGATGAGGCCTCCTTATGGTTTTCTGAGATGTCTCAGTAGAGTTAATCCAGGGCCACTGTCTAGTTGATTAGAGTTTCCTACTAGGTCTGAGAAATGTTCTCAGGAATAAGGGAGTCCCTTGGTCAAATAAATTTGGAAAATGGTTCTTTCCATACTCTCTGCCTTTGAAATTTTACAGTGTATACTATTACATTGAAGATGCAAAGAAGTCTTAGCAGTGAAGAAATCAATAAAACTGCATTTAGCGTGGTATTTCTCAAGATTAGTTGACCACAGGATCTTTTTCTTTGTAATTTATTCTTCACATGGTGCTACTGTTAATATGTAACATACTTTGGGAAACACTGATTCAGAGTGATTCACAAATTTAAATTTCTTCTGTTCATGTGACTCCAAGCTCTTCATGAACAGTTTGGTTTATTTTTATAAAATTTATTTGGAGGGAAAGATACTCCTCCTTGGTTAGTTTAGAAGCTGATAAAGGTATGATGAGTAACAACTATATCAGTGGGGACCCCTCTTTGTCCCCCAGCATTGCAGTGAGAAGGATCAGGGACAGAACTTTTTCACATACCATAAAGCCAACCATTTTAAACTATGTAATTCAGTGGTTTATAGTACCTCCATGAAGTTGTGCAGCCATACCACTTTCTAATGCTAGGTTATTTTCATCACCCCCAAAAGAAACTGTAGCCACTGGCCTTCACCATTACATAGGGTATTGATAGCACCTGTCATGCTGCAGTAGTACAGTGATACCTGGGTTCATGAACCAGATCAAATTTCCCCACAAGGTTCAACATCACCCAGTGTGGAGTTTGTGAACAAAAACAAAATTTTGCACACACTTTGTTCACAAACTGAATTGTTCACACACACAAGTGTTTGTGAGCCAAGGCACCATTATATATTTCTTCAATTCTGTTGTGAATTTTGGCACTCTTATTAAATTCATATGTTTATGTAAACATCTTGATGGCTTGATCTTTCTTAATCATTATAAAATGACCTACTTTGTCTCTATAACATGTCTGTTATACTTTTTCTCCAGAAACAATGTCTTATAAAATCTATCGTATCTGATAATGGTATAGACCCTCAGCTCTCTTTTGGGTACATCTTACTTGATACATCTTTTCCCCTCTGTTTACTTTTATTTTTTCTCTCATTGAGTTTATTGGTACATTTTAGGTATATAGTACAGTTACTTTCATCATTGGGATCTTGTACCTTTGCATGACAGGTCTTGGTGTCTCTGTTTACTTTTAGTCTGGTGTGTCTTTGAATCTAAAACGTATGTAGACAGCGTACAGGTTGATCATGGTGATTTTTTTTTTAAATTCTATCAACTGCTTTTTGTTGTACTTAGTCCATTTATATTTAATGTAAATAGGATTTATGCCTGCTATTTTGGTACTTTTTTGTTTAATTCCTCCATTAATATTTGTTGGTTTTAATAGATTTAGTGTATCACTTTTAATTCCCTTGTTTATTTTTATTTTTTGTGGTACCGGGGATTGACCTCGGGTCCTTGTGCTTGTGAGGCAGGCCACTGAACCGCTGAGCTAAATCCCTGGCCCCCCTTTGTTTATTATTTTAAAAAATTATTTTTTACATGCTTGCCTGGAGATTACAATTAACATTTCAATATATAACAATCTATTTCAGATTAATTCCAACTTAATTTCAATAGTATACAAAAATCTAACTCCTGGATAGCTTTATTCCCTT